AGGTCTGTGGCAATCACATGCGGATTAGTGGTGGCTGCGGATAGAGAGACGAAATCGATAATCATGATGTCGACGATGATGAAATTGCTGTGGCCGGTGTCATCCATTCAGATAAGAGTGATAAGTGCAGAAATGTATCCAGTATAACAGCTTTGGAGGACACAAAGGGAGGGGCAATCGACAGCAAGCACAGTGAAGTATTTGATGCTAGTACCCTATTTGGCACAGCTCAATTTCGGCAAATTTGAAGGAACCCATCGTGACGAGGCACAGTCAAAAGAGGAGAGAGTTGAGCACTAAGCGGCAAAACCGGAGGCGAAGAAAGCTCACACGGGGCAGTGAAAATTTTATGAGCGACGCAGACCTCGCTATCTTGATCACTTCGTGGCGAACGTTACGATCAACAGATCATGTTTTCTCGGTAAGAGCAGCTCGCTGGGTGTTTGCAAGTCGACGGGTAGTTAGGAACAGATGGCTGAGTCGCCGCATAAGAACTCGTTGCGGTGGTAGTAATCCTGTCGACAAGGTAACCCTCCGATGGCAGGGTCACCTGCGGCTGTGTGCTCTAACCTGCAGTGCGATTATTAAAATACATTCACGTATCTTGGGTTGAGTACTGTTGCTGCTCGTTGCTGAAACAGACACGGTTAAACATATATTTGTTGGAGGGGGCATTGATGCGCCATGTGATGGTAAATAAATCTCGGCTCTACAGTCATCGCAAACGGTAGAACACCGGTGGTATCCAAATGCCACGTACACTTGTACTAGTTATTCGCTGCGCTTTCCGGCAGGATCGAGTCGGCACCATGAAATGATGTACACTATTAAAGCGATATAGGGTATCGGGAAGGTGGTCACAATCCTGGGAAGGGGAGTAGTGTCATCATATATCTCGCGGACGTTTGAAGGCATTTCAATCCTAGACTGCCCTTTTTTTCAGAATCCAGACTCGTTTGACTTGGGATCTGAAAGGAGGCACCTCTCTCCTTAGCTCTTTCTGATAACTTACATAAGTCAGATTATCTGACCCATAATACGACAAATAATGTTGTAAACATGCTTCCCCTCTTTCCCTCGTGCGTACTCTCTCTCTCTCTCTCTCTCTCGTTGAATCTCGGACCGCGTCAAGCTGACGCTGGTTCTGTTGACCATCAAATCGTTCCCGTGGACGCCAATACCATACAGTATTGAAAATGCTCTCTAGCAGCCACCAAGCCTGAAACTCTTAGCAAAATGAGCCCGGGTTCCCGCAAGCAAACCCGACGTCAAGCATAATTTTTTATCTAATTTCAAGCACAGGTTACTAGATCGAAATTTGGTCGCTCGTACGCAGTTTATCGCAAGAACCGAACCTATTATAATATCTAGGCATTATGTGAAAAATTTAATTCAGATGAAAATCCAATTCAGTACAGCGAGAGCTCACAAACCCTCTTTAATCTGGTACAGGACAACGTCTTTCGAAATGCAAATCAGGCTTCAATAAGAGGCCACTTCCTCCGTCTTTGAATATGCAAAAATATCATTTTCAAGACATACTTGAAGTATCGAATACCGGTAAATGTTTTTTCTTGATAAGTATGCTAGTGTGAATGCCCGCAGTTCTAATTGTCTCGAGTACACGTGTAGTCTTCGTGCTCTACTCGATCTTAAGCAATAAATAGTATGCAAGCCGTTTTACCTCGACGAAGCAGATACCGCTCCAACTACTTTTACCTTATTGGTCAGCCACTCCAACATCAGAGACGGCTACACATTTTTGATGGTCGAGGATGCAGGAGGGACACCAACGCGTACAACAAAATGAGCTCATGTTTGGATTCAGCGGCTTCTACACAGCGTTGAGTAATCCTATATACATGACAGCTACTACAACGACACGTAAGGCACGTATCTCGTGCAAGTTAGATCTCGGCGCATCGTCCGAGTGTGGTTGGCTGCAACGAATGGCGATCCACAAGTGCAGATTCATCAGCCTCGGTAACCCAAGGGTCCGGGTATTTACGCGCGCAAGTGGCGGTAGGCGCCAGGCTTGGAGTATCCTCCGTAAGCCTTGCCGGCAGAGTTTCCACCCACACCTGCGTTCAGGCCCGCACCAGCGTTGAGCCCCGCCCCAGCGTTGAGCCCCGCTCCAGCCTTGGGTCCCGCACCGGCGTTGAGTCCGGCACCGGCTTCAGTCCCGCTACAGCCTTGAGACCGGCACCGGCGTTGATTCCCGCACAAGTCTTGACTCCTGCACCTGCGTTGAGTCCCGCCCCAGCGTTGAGCCCCGCTCCAGCCTTGAGTCCCGCACCGGCGTTGAGCCCGGCACCGGCATTCAGTCCCGCTACAGCCTTGAGACCGGCACCGGCGTTGAGTCCGGCACCGGTATTCAGTCCGGCACCGGCATTCAGTCCCGCTCCAGCGTTGAGACCAGCACCAGCGTTTAAGCCTGCACCCGCATTGTGTCCGACGCCAGCTCTGCCGTAGCCTCTGGCACCCACACCTTCGCCAGCTTGGGGCCCCGCGGCGGCGTTGATACCCACCGCCGCGCCGCCGTAACCGTAACGCTTGCCATAGTCGTCGTTGCTGCGATAGCCATTCTGCTTGCCGTACGCCCCACGCGTGTCGTAGCTATCGAGCGAGTCATCACTGTCTTGTTGGCCATACCCGTCTCGCTTGCCGTACCCTTTGTTCTTGCCGTAGACGTTCCGATTGCCGTATGCGTCGCGCTTGTCGTAGCCGTCGGTCTTGCCATACCCGTCGTGGTTCTGGTGCAGACGCCCGTACGTCTGCGCCACCTCGGTTGACGCGTCCACTGCACTAGCCGAGAGCGCCACAGCCGCCGCACACAGCGCACAGATTGTCTTGCTGAACATCATCTTGCTCGACTTGGAACTACTTGATTGGAAGCGTGTTGGCCCACAGACGCTCCATCAGGACGTCGGAAATTGAAGAATGAACTCACTTGCATTTTGCTCCGATCGATGCAGCGAAGGACTGAAGTTGGCGTGATATCCTCTTGCGCAACGAACAGCTTGACAACCGCTCGACTAGCCCGCTCGCTGGGTGTTTGCAAGTCGGCGGGTAGTTAGGAACAGATGGCTGTGTCGCCGCATAAGAACTCGTTGCAGTGGTAGTAATCCTGTCGACAAGGTAACCATCCGATGGCAGGGTCACCTGCGGTTGTGTTTCTAACCTGCAGTGCGATTATTAAAATACATTCACGTATCTTGCGTTGAGTACTGTTGCTGCTCGTTGCTGAAACAGACACGGTTAAACATATATTTGTTGGAGGGGGCATTGATGCGCCATGTGATGGTAAATAAATCTCGGCTCTACAGTCATCGCAAACGGTAGAACACCGGTGGTATCCAAATGCCACGTACACTTGTACTAGCTATTCAATATTTGTTTTGCTGGGGAGCTCGCAGGACACCATGGAAATGATGTACACTATTTAAAGCGATATAGGGTATCGGAAGGTGGTCAACAATCCTGAGAGAGAGTAGTGTCATCATATATCTCGCGGACGTTTGAAGGCATTTCAATCCTAGACTGCCCTTTTTCAGAATCCAGACTCGTTTGACTTGGGATCTGAAAGGGGGCGCCTTTGTAGAATCTCCTTAGCTCTTTCTGATAACTTACATAAGTCAGATTATCTGACCCATAATACGAAAAAATAATGTTGTAAACATGCTTCCCCTCTTTCCCTCGTGCGTACTCTCTCTTTCTCTCTCTCTCCCGTAGAATCTCGGACCGCGTCAAGCTGACGCTGGTTCTGTTGACCACCAAATCGTTCCCGTGGACGCCAATACCATACAGTATTGAAAATGCTCTCTAGCAGCCACCAAGCCTGAAACTCTTAGCAAAATGAACCCGGGTTCCCGCAAGCAAACCCGAGGTCAAGCATAATTTTTTATCTAATTTCAAGCACAGGTAACTAGATCGAAATTTGGTCGCTCCGAGTACATATCACTGTACGCAGTTTATCGCAAGAACCGAACCTATTATAATATCTAGGCATTATGTGAAAATTTTAATTCAGATGAAAATCCAATTCAGTACAGCGAGAGCTCACTGTAAGTTAAACCATCTTTAGTCTGGCACAGGACAACGTCTTTCGAAATGCAAATCAGGCTTCAATAAGAGGCCACTTCCTCCGTCTTTAAATATGCAGAAATATCATTTTCAAGACATACTTGAAGTATCGAATACCGGTAAATGTTTTTTCTTGATAAGTATGCTAGTGTGAATGCCCGCAGTTCTAATTGTCTCGAGTACACGTGTAGTCTTCGTGCTCTACTCGATCTTAAGCAATTGATAGTATGCAAGCCGTTTTACCTCGACGAAGCAGATAC